AAAAAATTATTTACAAAAACAGGAGACCAGCCTGCATGCTGTAGTGTTATAATTAAATATTCCATTAAAATATGTATCATGATTATTGAGCTTTTGACCCCCTTTTAAATTTTGTGCCTAAAACAAATGCCTTATTCATTGTACCTTAGTCCTGTTTCTATAAATGCACACAGAGCAGAGGTTAATTCCTACATGGGCATCCCTGGGAGCTGCATAGAAGAGCTGGATCTTAAAAGATGAAGATAATTGGGGGCAGCTTCTGAAGAGAAAATGATTAATCCTTACCCCTCCATCTGACTGCTCTATAGATTGATCTTTTCTCCCTCTTTTGCTATTAATATTGTACTTAGCTAAATCGACAAAAAAATAAAAAATAGTTATTAACATTCTATTGCTCTACATTCTGTTTCTGTATTTTCTTCTTTCTCCCTCTACTTTTTGAAGTCCAATTATACATGCTGTAAAATAATTTAGTAATGCTTTAGTTTTTGTCTTCTTACAGTTCCTGTTACAAATGTAACCCTTTGTAATTGCATAAAATGTGTTAATACAACTTCACATAACCACTTAGCTTTTTTCTTACAAATTGAAATGTGTGTGTGCACATTGTGTGTGTGTGTGTATAACAGGGAGACAGAGAGAGAGAGAGAGAGAGAGAGAGAGAGAGAGAGAGAGAGAGAGGAAGAGAGAGGGAGAGACAGGTCATTATGTATATTTGAGAATTTAACCCTAAAATCCAAAAATAGTTTCAATTAATGTTTAACATGCGCATCATTTAGGAATTGTGTTCACCTACTAGTAACAGAGACTGGAAATTAAATAATAGTGTCTGAAACAAGATAGAAGTTATTACTCTCTTGAGAAAAGTAAGTGCAGAGGGAAGCATCTCAGAGCAGATATGGTAGCTCCACCATCATCATGGACTAAGGTTCTTTCTGTCTTAACCTTACACCACCCTAGTATGAGGCCTCCCTTCTGAAGGTCGCCCTCTGGTCCTAGGTGACTGCTATAGATCTAGGCATCTTGTGGGCATTGGAGTCCAGGAAAGAAGGATTGCATCCAGAATTCTCAAATACTTGTCAGAACGTAGTCACATGACACACCCAGCTATAGGGAAGGTTGGCAAATAACTTTTCATTTGGGCTCACTAATCAGACTTCTACTTCCAAAGAAGAGACTCTAGTGGCAACTAGAATGTAATCATCCTTTTATCTTTGCCTTTGAGGTACATATATAGAATGGAATATCACTTAACTATAAAAAAGAATGAAATCTTGCCATTTCCAAAAACATGGATGGACCTAGGGTATTATGCTAAATGATATGTCAGACAAAGACAGACAAATACCATATGATGTCACTAAAAAACAAAATAAGCAAACAGGGACAAATTGATGGTTGACAGATAGAAGGGGGATTAGGAAATAGGTGAAATCATTAAGAAGTACAAATGGCCAGTTATAAAAATAGTCACAGGGATGTAAAGTAGTGCATAGGGAATATAGTCAATAATACTATAATAACTACTAGAGGCCCAGTGCAGCAATTAGTGCACGGGTGGAGTCCGGCTGGCCAGGCCCCAATTGGGGCGGATAGGGGCCAGGACTGTCAGGAGGAGGAGATGGCAGAAGGTTGGCCAGCCGGCCCGCCCTGATCCGGGCCCAATCAGGGTGAGGCCAGCTGGGGGAAGGGGCTGAGGGCAATTGGCCAGCGGGCCCAGCCCCCAATTGGGGTGAGGGGTCGATTGAGGGCGGGGCAGGCCATGGGGAGGGCCTGATTGGTGTGGGGGGCCAATCAGGGGCGGAGCTGGATGGGGGAGGGGCTGCAGGTGGATGGGGTGGTGGGGGCTGATTGGGGGTGGGGCTGGCCATGGGGAGAGGCTGTGGGCAGTGGGCCAGCTGGCCCCACCCCTGAATGGGGTGTGGGGCCAATTGGGGACCAGTGGCCTAGGGGAGGGGCCATGGGTGGTTGGTCAGCTAGCCCTGCCCCTGATTATAGTGGGGGGCCGATTGGGGGTGGAGCTGGATGGGGGGAGGGGCTGCAGGAGGATATGGGTAGTGGGGGCCCATTAGAGGTGGGCCGGATGGGGGCAGCCAGAGGGAGGGGCTGTGGGGGTGTTGGCAGACCAGCCCTAACCCCTGATAGGGCCATAGCGACCGGTCGTTCTGGTCATTACAGCGTTCCTGTCCCTGGCTATAGATATAGATATAGATATAGATATAGATATAGATATAGATATAGATATAGATATAGATATAGATATAGATATATATACACACATACATATATATATATGGTGTCAAATAGGTCTTAGACTTATCAGAGTGACCACTTCCTAAGCTATATAACTATCTAATCACTGTGTTATACACTGGAAATTAATAATGTATGCAATGCTCACTTTGGCAGCATGTATACTAAAACTGAAATAATAAAGAGAAGATTAGCATGGCCCCTGAGCAAGGATGACATGCAAATTCGTGAAGCATTCCATATTTGACAAAAAATAACATATGCCAACTGTAATTAAAAAATAAAATTTTTTTAAAGAATTCAAAGGCAAAGACCAAACATATGAAGTCAAACAGAAAGTATAGTATGATTTTGAAATCAATTTGCTTGACTTTATAAAATTAAATGGCTGAATTTGGAGCTATTGAGTTTCCAAACTTTAAAGAATTAAAATGGAATATATAACATTAAAAAATACTACAGGTGCCCTAGTCAGTTTGGTTCAGTGGATAGAGCATCAGTCTGGGAATTGAAGGGTCCAGGGTTCGATTCCAGTCAAGGGCACATGCATGGGTTTCGGGCTGGATCCCCAATAGAGCATGCAGGAGGCAGCCGATCTGTGCTTCTCTCTCATCATTGATGTTTCTATCTCTCTCTCCCTCTCCCTTCCTCTCTGAAATCAATAAAAATATATTTTAAAAAATACTATACGTTATATTTGAAATCCATATGTAGTTTTCCTTTTGCATCATAGAAGTTCATTCTATGATTTTAAAAAAGTGGATGACAGTTACTGTCACTAGAAAGAAAAGTATTGTCTTATTCTGACAATCAACTATTTACTATTTCTCTCTCTCCACCTCCATTTCTCTGCTTAATTTAGGAATCTTATTTTTTAGCATTTAGCATTATAAAAACACATTCTGAAAAAAAGCTCTCTACCAGTGAAGTGAAGTTTAAAATTAGGGCAATTATCTGAATAATCCAGGCTGAAATTCTACTTTCATCTCAATTATTCAAATAATTCAGAAAATACCAAGGTTTTTGCTTGAATTTCCTAGATAATTATATAATTTTCAACTTTACAATGCTGGGTTATTGCCCAATAATATTTACTTTTGATTTTTGTAAGAAATATTGGAACTTTTTTTGAAAACTAAAGATTTCTTTAATTTCCATATATTTATTTGAGTCTCAATTTTTATCCACAAACACTACTTTTAAGATTTTTTTCTGAAGATATCATTTATATTGGTTTTTATTTGCTCCTTTGCTTTATGCTATACAACACTACAAGTTTCCCACCTGATATACATTCTCCCTTTTTTCCTAATTGACAGAACCACAATTTTCTTGAGTAGCAATGTGCCTAGCTAAAATAGGGGGCCAAAGGACACAAGTCTGAGAAGTTGTAAAAACAAATATGCTACAAATTCTAAAAGGGACTTTCCCAGTAAATTCTTTGCATTCCTTCTTTTCTGCAAAGCTCGAGGGTGGAATATCCCTCTTGAAACCATGAGGCAATAGTTCTGAGGACAAAAGCTACAAGCTACAGATGACAGATCATTAGTTTAGGAGATTGGAACATCGATGACCTTATACAGAACCACTGTATAAGCCCTGGATTACTTATATCCAAACTTCTTGTTTTGAGAGAAAAATAACCCCCATTGCCTTTAGGCATTGCCACTGGATTTGTTACTTCACTTTTATGAAATGGAACCAAATCCAAAAATTCTACCATTTTGCAGCTCTGTTTAACAAGGGTCACACCATTCCTGCTGGCTACTTATGAGTCTAATTTGTTAAAAGCAATGATTTTTGAATAGTATGCAAATATTATATATTCTTCGCAGTGTATTGTAGACTAGTAGGCTGAAATTATTTCATGTCATTACATTACAATTCACAAACTGTTTGAATATGCAAATATATACACATAAATATGTATTTAAACAAACTTGATAAGGTGTATTTCCATGGTTTTCATGTCTTACTTTAGTCAGCAGGAAAAGAAATAAAGCTTTGGAACAAGTCAAACAATATACATATTTCATGTAGGATTAAATGTACAAACACTTAGATGTTTACCACAATAACTTGTATCGCTGGGGGAGCAAAGGTCTAGGAGTAATGGCTAGATTTTTGGAGAGCAACAAGAAAAGCCCAGACTGAGCAGAAGGAAGGTGATAATAAAGATTAGAGCAGAAATAAATGACATAGAGACAAAAAAAATATGAAAGATCAATGAAACCAACAGCTGGTTATTTGAAAGGGAAAACGAGATTGATGAACCTCTAGCCAGGCTCACCAAGAAGCAAAGAGAGAGGACCCAAATAAACAAAATCAGAAATGAAAGAGGCAAAATAACAACAGACCCCACAAGAATACAAAGGATTGTTAAAAAGTATTATGAATAACTCTATTCCAACCAACTAGACAACCTAGAGGAAATGGACATATTCCTAGAAAAATACAACCTTCCAAAACTCAATCAGGAAGAATCTAAAATAGGCCAATAACTATGGAGGAAATTGAAGCAGTCATCAAAAAGCTTCCAGGAAACAAAAGCTCAGGGCCAGATGCCTTCACAGGGGAGTTTTATCAAACATTCAAGGAAGAACTAAAACCTATCTTCCTCAGACTATTCCAAAAAACTCCAGAGAAAGATACATTTCTAAGCTCATTCTATGAAGCCAGCATTACCCTAATACCAAAACCAGATAAAGACAACACAATGGAAGAGAATTACAGGCCAATATCCCTCATGAACATAGATGCCAAAATCCTCAACAAAATTCTAGCAAATTGGATCCAGCAGTACATCAGAAAGATCATATACCATGACCAAGTAAGATTTATCCCAGGGATGCAAGGATGGTACAATATCCACAAATCAATAAACGTGATACATCACATAAACAAATTGAGAGATAAAAATCACATAGTCATATCAATTGATGCAGAAAAAGCATTTGGCAAAATCCAACACCCTTTCTTGATAAAAACCCTCAGCAAAATGGGAATAGAGAGATCATACCTCAACATAATAAAAGCCTTATATGACAAACCTACAGCCAACATCATACTCAATGGGCAAAAATGAAAACCATTTCACCTAAGAACAGAACTAGACAGGGATCCCCACTTTCACCACTCCTGTTCGGCATAGTTCTGGAAGTGCTAGCCATAGCAATTAGACAAGAAGAAATAAAAGTTATCCAAATTGGAAAAGAAGACATAAAACTGTCATTATTCACAGATGAGATGATACTGTACATAGAAAACCCTAAAGACGCCATCATATAATTATTGGACTTTATAAATGAATTTGTCAATGTAGCAGGATACAAAATTAAAGCCAAGAAATATATGGCATTTTTATACACCAATAGTGAATTTACAGAAAGAAAGACTAAAATACAATCCCATTTACCATCGCACCAAAAAAATTAAGATACCTAGGAATAAACTAAGAAGGTAAAAGACCTGTACTCAGAAAACTACAGGACACTGAAAAAAGAGATAGAGGAAGACATGAACAGATGGAAGAACATACTATGTTCATGGATTGGTAGAATCAACATCATTAAAATGTCCATACTACCCAAACCAATCTATAGATTCAATGCTTTCCCCATTAAAATACCAAGGGCATATTTCACAGACCTAGAACGAACTCTCCAAAAATTCATCTGGAATAAAAAAAGACCCCCAATAGCTGCAGTCATCCTGGGAAAGAACAAGGTAGGAGGGATCTCAATACCAGATATTATGCTGTATTACAAAGCCACTGTTCTCAAAACTGTCTGGTACTGGCACAAGAACAGACATATAGATCAATGGAATAGAATAGAGAACCCAGAAATCAACCCAAACCACTATGCTCAATTAATATTTGACAAAGGAGGCAAGAACATACAACGGAGTCAAGACAGTCTCTTCAATAAATGGTGCTGGGAAAATTGGACAGATACATGCAAAAAAATGAAACTAGATCACCAACTTACACCATACACAAAAATAAAATCAAAATGGCTAAAGGACTTAAAAGTAAGATAGGAAACCATAAAAATACTAGAGGAATCCACAGGCAGCAAAATCTCAGACATATGCCAAAGCAATCTCTTCACCAATACAGCTCCTAGGGCAATGGAAACTAAAGAGAAAATAAACAAATGGGACTACATCAAAATAAAAAGCTTTTGTACAGCAACAGAAACCATCAACAAAACAACAAGAAAGCCCACTGCATGGGAGAACATATTTGCCAATGTTATCACCGATAAGAGTTTAATCTGCAACATTTACAGGGAACTCATACAACTTAACAAAAGGAAGATAAACAACCCAATCAAAAAATGGGCAACTGACCTAAATAGATACTTTTCGAAAGAGGACATAAGGAAGGCCAAGAGACATATGAAAACATGCTCAAAGTCACTAATCATCTGAGAGATGCAAATCAAAACGACAATGCAATACCATCTCACATCTGTCAGAATGGCTATCATCAACAAATCAATAAATGACAAGTGCTGGTGAGGATTCGGAGAAAAAGGAACCCTCGTGCACTGCTAGTGGGAATGCAGACTGGTGCAGCCACTGTAGAGAACAGTATGGAGTTTCCTCAAAAAAACTAAAAATGGAACTCCCATTTGACCCAGTGATCCCACTTCTAGGAATATATCCCAAGAAACTAGAAACACCAATTAGAAAGGATATATGCACCCCCTATGTTCATAGCAGCACAATTCACCATAGCTAAGATTTGGAAACAGTGCCCATCGGCAGATGAGTGGATTAAAAAACTGTGGTACATCTACACAATGGAATACTGCTGTAAAAAAGAAAGAATTCTTACCATTTTCAACAGCATGGATGGAACTGGAGAGCATTATGCTAAGCGAAATAAGCCAGTCAGAGAAAGATAAATACCACATGATCTTACTTCTTTGTGGAATATTATGAACAACATAAACTGATAAACAAAAACAGGTCCAGAGTCAGAGAAGCATTGATCAGACCGTCAAACCTCAGAAGGAAGGTAGGGGAGGGTGGGGGTAAAGGGAAGAGATCAACCAAAGGACTTGTATGCATGCATATAAGCATAACCAATGGACACAGACACTAGGGGGGTGAGGGCATGAGTGGGCGGGTGGGAGGGAATGGGAGGATAAGGACACATATGTAATACCTTAATCAATAAACAAACAAACAAACAAACAAAAAAGTTAGGATGGGGAGGGATCACAGGGAACCAGCACC